GACTACGATGGGACCTGAAACAACGATTTATGCTTCTTTTAATATGAAAATATGTTTTTGTTGAGGCAAGATAGAAATTTTTTTAGTATATAAATTTATTCATAGAATATTTAAAAATAGTTCATTTCTCAGTTTTCTTATTTTATTTTACTCGTTTTCATCTTTTTCTATTTATAAATGTTGTCTCAGTTCTAAGTCGTGCTTAGCTAAACGCACATTCTTCAGTAATTATCGAGCTTTGTTGTTTTGTGTTTGTTATCGCTCCTCAGTTTTTCATTGAGAAAAGTTGTAGTGAAAAAAATTCCATTTCAGCACTTTTTACACGTTGCAAATGCAAATATGCGCATTTTTAATGTTCATGTGAGTCATCCGTTTGGGGTTTGTTTCATTCTAGCTGTTAAAGCAAAGAAAAATAAATGAGAATATATTTTTTACATTTACATTTTAGTAAAGTTTACAAGTATTTTTTCGCAGGAATTTGTATGTATTCCTCTACATATCCATACATACACTAGGCTACAAATATAAGTGTACACCTTCACAATTATTTTCATGAACATTTTTTTTTCATTAATTATTTATGAAAATATAGTTCATTCTATAATATAAGCCATATAAATAAAAGTTTCACAAAAATAAAAATCAAATCATCAAAATTTTTTCCATTTTATTCAGAATTTCTAGAAAAATTTTTAGTATGCAATTTTGCAGCCNCAGTTTCACACTTTATATTAAGTTCACAAAAATAAAAATCAAATCTCCAAATTTTTTTACATTTTATTCAGAATTTCTAGAAAAATTTTTAGTATGCAATTTTGCAGCCCATTCAATAAAACAAAGAGCCAATTTAAAAATGAGGACGAAAGAGTTGACCAAAAAAATTTGACGCTTAAATATAAAAAAAAACGCAAGAAACGCCACAAAGAAAAAGCCATCGTGTAAATACAAGGGGGTTTTCGAAGACTTTTTTAAAAGGGAACGTGCAAAAAACGCAGAATGAAAAGTCATCATGTAAATTGGCTCAAAGTGCGTGCAAGTTTCAAGTCGCTAAAAATTAACCTTGACTTTTTAGATTTTATTTTTGTGGATGGTGTTTTAAATTTTGTCATCTTGTTATTTTATAAGTAGGGCTCGGAATCTCATGCACTAAAAAATCGAAAATATCCGCATATAGATGCACGCAAAATTCAAAAATATGCGCTATAAACAAGTAAAATATGCGATTAAAAATATTTTCATAATATTTTATAGGTACGTCATACAGAGAGAGGCAGCTGCACTCGTAAACATTCTGCAGGAATGGCTTGCAGAGTGTCTTTAGCCTCATCCTTTCGAAGGCTGTACATTCGCATAGAAAGTGTTGGACTTTCTCTTGGTTTAAAGTGGGTCGCAGAACACCCAGATCTAACAGAGGTTGAAGAGAGTGCCTCAACGGCAATTTTTTTGTCAAGAAGAATTTTTTTGCCAAGAGATTTCGCACTAAATTTAAATGGTTGTAAATGAAAAAAAGCAAAAATATGCAAAAACGATATGCATTTATTGTAAAATATACTAAGATAACTTAACCATTTCCACTTGAAGATGCCCAATAAAAACATGCATTTGCATGAGATTCCGAGCCCTATTTATAAACAATGTACACTGTGTTGTATTATGTCTTACTAAATTGCACTATTAGCAATTTAGGCAAACCTACGTCATATCGGCAAAATATGCTGCACGTATGTATATTCATGTCACCTAGACCTTGAATCTCTACAACTTTCATCCAAAACATTTAGTCACGCACAGAGGTGGGTGCGGAGACATGAAACGCCTCATATGATAAAATGAAGGTAATATATTTTTCTAACTACACAGCTAGATATTGTAAATTCAAAACTCAACATCCTCAGTTCATAAGATGCATATATGTAATACTTCTATATTGATAGTAAGCTAACATCTCAATGTGTAAGCATTCCGAAATCAAAGCGAGACAGTCTAGTACTGTTTTTGTCAATGTATTGTGTACTTGAGTGCCGGTTTTGTAAATGTGTCGTGTACATGTTTATTTATAAACGTATGTGTTCCTTTTCTTTCGTACGTGTTTATTGATATATCTGTACTGTAGTGTTTTCGGACGGTACTAGCTCTTACTGCCAATATAGGAGTATTACATATATGATAAGATGGCGTGAATTCGCATGAAATTTGATAAATCGCCTCTGAACTCTTTCTATGCGTTCCGAATGTGTGACAAAATCTGAATCCCAAATAATGCAAGCCTATTTCAAAATAGATCTCACCAAACAAGTATAAAGACTTTTAAACGTAAGCGAATTAAGTACATATCAATTTTTAGTTTATCACATGAATTTCCCTAACCCCATACGATTTCATTATTTTCCCACAGCAATCCATTGTTTATTTATTTTTATTTATTTTTTTTCATTTTTACTCGAACTGAAATTCAACACCCCAAGCTTACTGATTAATGCAAAATTGTGTGGTTGTTAAAGCCTTCTGAATTCGCTTTTTTATTTTAATTCCATTACCTTTGCTGTGTTTTGTTTGTGATTTACAAGTGAATCATATTACATACTCTGAGTAATGCAATGCAGCAACAATAGCAAAACTTAATTACAATCGCTTAATGCGCTTAAACTCACCACAAATCTTCACACAAAAGGCCGCAAAGCAGCTACATACATATGTACATATTGGTGAGTTCTTTGCAGAATTATACAGGTTGTTACTTATTTTGTTGTTGTTGCTTTTGCTCTCGCTGCATTTCGTATTGTTCATAAAGAGTGGACATTTTTGCTGCACTCGCTTGCTGGCTGAAACAACATGAAAGGCCAGCCGAACGATGTAAATGAAGAAAAATGTTGGAACTTGGACATCCGATTCTCCAACTGGTCAGTGTTACCGCCATGTTACTTTCATTTGCTTCATACAAGTTGATGATTGAATGTATGGATATTGTTCATCTTCACTATCACTAGTGGAAAGTTCTATAAGAACGTGTAGCCAAAACAACAACCCCATGATTCATATATTGCAAGAACCAAAATGCTGATTTATGGAAAAGCAAGTAATGCTTTATGCGCGTATCCGAAACCCACCTAAGTACTTGCGGAAAGGATTCGAGTACAAAAAGTACTTGAAGAAAGTATCGAGTATTAACTCGTATCGGAACAACCCTACTTACATTTAGAACCGTTTGTTGTTACTTTTGGGATCCCTAAAGTCAGTGTTCTAGGACCGCTTTTGTTCGTTTTGTTTATTAATGATATCGGGTCCTACTTCAATAATTGTGATAATTGCTATATGTGAGGGATGGTGTCAAAAAAAAATGTTATCTCTTCCTTATGACCCTCGCCAAAACATTAAAAAATTTTTCAATTAATAATCATATTTTACATCAACAGGAGGCTTTCGTTAATTACTCTATTTATCGTGGTGTCGCTTTTGACTCAGACTATTCATATATGAATGATATATTCTTCCGAATGCATATAGAAACTTAGATAAGATAGATAGATGTAGATAAGATTAGCGGTATTTCGATGGAAAACCACTCCACTGATTTGAAAGATGCAAATTAGTACGAAGTTTTATTGAATTTTCCCAGTTTTGCACAAAGTGGAGAGATTTTATTTTTTTGTTTTTTGTTGTAGTATGAACTATATTTTTATAAAAATTTTGCGAAAAGAAATTAGAATAAAAGACTTTCCATACATTGCGAAAAATTCCTTGCCAATACTTTTGCCCTGCACTGTATGTAAGTCATCCAACAGCAAAAATAACGAGATACATTTTTTTTTTATTTCATACAAAGAACTCGGGGAGAATGCACGAAATTTTCAATTCGAAATTTTCGAAAAAAGTTGCGTATGCAGTTATGTAGCCCATTAAATTTTAGTATAATGATGTGGCACGGAAACGGAAACAAATAATATCGTCTAAATTTCAGGGTATACTTATACTTAGAATTTTTCTTACAAATATGATTTGAGTTTTGCACAAAGTCGAGAGATTTCATTTTTAACCGACTTCCAAAAAAGGAGGAGGTTATCAGTTCGTCGGAATATTTTTTTTTTTTTTTTTTTTTTTTTTATTTTTTTTTATGTAT